AAGGCTAGCCAACACTGCGTAGTGAGACCCTATCTCAACAAACCAACCAACTAACCCTAAAAGATACAAATTAGCAGAATGGATTAAAAACAACAACAAAATGAAAAAAAAAAAAAAAAGTAGTATGCTGTCTACAAGAAAAACCTTTAATCCAAAAAGTAATTCTTATCAAAGAATGGAAAACAGCATCTCCTGCAACAGAAACCTAAAAATAAGCAAAAGTAGCTATCCTATTTTTCTTTCTTTTCTTTTCTTTTTTTTTTTTCGCAGAACTGGGGATTGAACTCAGGCTCTTGCACTTGCCAAGAAGTGCTTATTCCCCTGCACCATCTCCCCAGCCCTGGAGGCAGGGCCAGAATAGCAAGTGCTGCTGGGGATCGAACTGTGGTCCTTAAACACTTGCCTAAGCAGGCGCTTTAGACTGCTGAGCTATCTTGCCAGCCCCAGCTATCCTATTTTCCTTTATTTATTTATGTATTTAGTACAAAGTCTACAGGGTCTCCCTAAGTAGATCGGACTCTAGTGATTCTCCTATTTACAGCCTCCCAAGAGCTGGGATTACAGGTGTGTGCCACCATGCTCAGTCTCAATTGCCAGTCTCAGGATGCCCAGGGGACAGATCCAGCGCAGCAGACCCCTGTGTGTGCTTAAGCAGGCACTTTAATCCACTGAGCTATCTGGCCAGCCCTACCCTATTTTCAAAGTGGATTTCATGCCAAAGAGGGTAACTAACATATTGGTTAAGGGAATAATTCAACAGGAAGAAACAGCAATTGTAAATATATATGCACCAAACACTGTCACATCCGATTTCATAAAACAAAGAGTACTGGACTAAGAGATCAGATAATTATCAGTGTAATCTTAGCAGAGGACTTCAACACTCCATGGTTACAAACAGATCAACTAGACCCCTGCCCCACAAAAAAATCAACAAATATCAATCAAACATTTTCAAACAGTCTTAACACTGTATATATCTACAGTGTTCTACAGAGTACATATTCTTGTCAGCAGCACATGGGACTTTCTCCCAAAATATATTACACATTGCCCTATAAAACAGGCTTATATAAATTTAAAAGGTAAAGAAAAAATAATCAAAGCTAACTTATGCATATTACCAGCTCACAGTGCAATGAAACTAGAAATCAGTGGCAAAAGAAACCATAAAAATCATGCAAACACATGCAGATCAAACACTACTGTCTTCAATAATCAATGGGTCACAGAAAAAAATGAGTTCCTACAATCAGTAATGCCAGTACAGTCTGCCAGACCATACAGCACACAATGAAAGCAGTCATAATAAAGAAGTTGATAGGAGTGAATGCCCACACATCAAAAAACCAGTGAGGGGCCCGAGGAGATGGCTCAGTAGAATAAGCACTTCCCTAGCAAGTGCAAGGGTCTGAGTTCCATCCCCAGTTCCACGCAAGAAAAAAAAAAAGATGTGTTATGCACATATACTAACTATCCATGATGACTGCAATCATTATGTACTACAAATATGTACTAATTAAAATTTTATTTATTTGTGTGTGTGTGTGTGTGTGTGTGTGTGTGGCCAGCTCAGCCCACCAGGGGGCGGGGCTGGCTGGCATGTGGTGCTGG